CCTCCAAGGCATTACAGAGCACTCCTTGAATCTCAACCTCATCAATCTTCTCCAAATCATCTTCAAATTTACTATATTCTCAAAATGCGCCAAAATCTCGACGCCCCATTTTTCTGGAACGCTTCCTATAATTCTCATCAATCAATAAAAACTGACATAGAAAGAGACTTAAATAGCTTAGTGGATTATTACCTCAAGTGACCTAAGAAAGTAGTCCCGAGCGAGACTATGGAGACCGTGTTTGCAGAGAGTGTGAACATGAGAAACGAAGTCATGCTCAACGGATAGATCTCCGGAGCCGTTGAGGAGAGATTTGGCGGCAGAGCAGAAACCTTCGTAGCTTTGGAGGATTTCTTGGACGGTGTCGTCATTGAGACTCATCAAAATCCCTAGATTTCCCACTGGAGAAGAAGTTAATGAATCCATCATTGACGAAAATTATGAGAAAATAACTCAAAGTTGTCTCCTCGCTTTGAAAACCCTAGCTTACGCCTTACTGCTTCAGCTTAGAACTGAACACTGTTGAATTTTTTGTTCACTTTTTTTTAGAATTCTCCTTTACCGCCACTGCCATGAAACTCATTGCTCCACTTCAATCAAAACGACGCATAGTGTGTCGTTTTATATTTTCGAATCGCTTTGGTATAACTATGATCTTGGTCCTTTACTATCCTCAAACTTCGTTCTAAATTATTATGTTGACGTAGTTTTTATTTTCTTCATTTAAAAAAAAAATTATATATCAACTTCTATAATTATCGTTATCGATCTAATATCATATGTTATTGGCCGTTAATTTTTAGTGAGATCAGTGCTAAAATAGGTGTATTTAACTCTTATTTTGAAATTATACTTTTATAAAAACGGTTTAAATTGATAAATATTCATATAAAAATTTATCTTTAAAGTTTAAACATTCTTTGTTAACCCTTTGATGATATTAATTTTGAGATATATTATTCATATTTTAAACAATATTTCTTGTTATTTGATTTTTTCAAATGAAAATCTAATATATATGAAATTTGATAAAACTCTCAAAAATTAAAAAATGATTTTTTTAGATAATTTTAAAAGTTTTAAGAAGTTCTGAAAATATCTATAAATACTAATGAGATAAACCTGTTTCACAAAAATTCATCAAAGAATGATGGTTCTTAGAGATAATCGAAAATATAAAAAAATTAAGAACTGATAAAAAAATGATGAGGTAAAAAAAAAGATGTCCAGTAAATGTCAGATAAACACGCATCATGATAAATATGAATTAATAGTAAAATGACACATCATCTGGTTATTAATATTTTAATAATAAAACAAATTAATTTAAAAAGTTTAACGATAAAATTGAAAGTTTTATAATATAATGACTAAAAGAAGACCGATGGTATGTTTAGTGATTAATGATTTAATGTTGTAGTTTATCCAAGTTTTAATTATAGTAAAGGACTAAAACCATAATGTTACCTTTTTCAGTTTTACTAGTTTCTCTTCGACCCTCTGCTCAAAGCTAAGCTTAGGTCTCTCTCAAAGTCTAGCAGATCAAATGGAGGCAAATGTCCAGGGACGAGACGAAACCCCAACCCATACCGGAGTTAAGATCTTGATGACGTCACTCTCGGCTATGGTGGCGGAAACCTCCACCTTTCCGATAGACTTAACCAAGACAAGGCTCCAGCTTCATGGCGAGTCTCAGCTTCTCGCTTCCTCCACGTGCCGCTCCACCAATGCGTTCCGTGTCGCCACCACAATCGTCCGTGACCAATGCGTTTTGGGGTTGTATCAAGGTCTCTCCCCGGCTATTATCAGGCATCTGTTCTACACTCCCATTCGGATCGTCGGTTACGAGAATTTGAGGAATTTAGTGAGCACCGATGAGTCTCTTTCTCTGTCTTCTAAAGCTTTTGTTGGTGGCATTTCCGGCGTTATTGCTCAGGTTTGTCTTGAATACTGAATCAAAATAATGGGAGTTAATTTACTTTCTTGAATTTGCCCAAAAAAAAAAGAATATTTTTGAAATGGATAGCTTAAATACAGTAAAAACTGTTGATTGAATTGGGATTATTAGCGAATTTCATGTATTTACAAACAACAAGACTAGTTCATCAGTCTTCATAAAGTACGAATATCAGATTTTGACAAATTAAAGTAGAGGGCTGAAATTTACAATTAGATTTGTGCTCGTGTGTGTGTGTGCGCGCGCGCGCATATTATACACACATTTGATAAGCTTGATTATTCTAAATATTCATTTGGAATGTAATAGTAGAAATTTTCTGCTTACTGTTAGTAGTACAGTTTGTGGCAAGTCCAGCTGATCTTGTTAAGGTGAAGGATGCAAGTGGATGGCCGTCTTATAAGCAAGGGTCTTCAACCTAGATACAAAGGACCATTTGATGCTTTTAAAAAGATTGTAGCTGCAGAAGGTATTTGAGGTCTTTGGAAAGGGGTTTTGCCGAATATTCAGAGGGCGTTTTTAGTGAATATGGGCGAACTAGCTTGTTACGATCATGCAAAACGTTTTGTTATCAATAATCAGATATCTGATGATAACATCTACGCGCATACATTGGCGTCAATCATGTCGGGTCTCGCTGCTACAACCTTGAGTTGTCCAGCTGATGTTGTGAAGACAAGAATGATGAATCAAGCAGTCGGTAAGGAAGGGAATCTCATGTACAAGAGCTCATATGATTGTTTGGTGAAGACGGTGAAAATCGAAGGATTAACAGCATTGTGGAAAGGTTTCTTTCCTACCTGGGCAAGGCTTGGTCCATGGCAATTTGTGTTCTGGGTCTCTTATGAGAAGTTCCGGCAAATTTCGGGGCATTCTTCCTTCTGAATAATTGACCTGATCAGGCTTCAGATGTCAATATGCATTACAAGCTAACGGCTTCTGTGGCGATTACTTGAATACCAACATGGGACAGAAGGTCTTAAAACGCCGGTGTCCTTTCCTAGCGACCATGGCTTTGTGTAATCGCTAAATGCAACAGAGTAAGTCCATTTGATCCTACATTTGCTAATAAGCATGCATTGATGTTTGTAAAAATGCAATATCTATACAGAACACTGCTTATTGGTAAATATATTCATGCTTGATTCATAGCGTTGAACGCTTCAATTATGCAATCGATCTCCATGGCTACGGTCTTCTTCCGACATAGTTTTGGTTTGCAGCTGTGAATTGTGGTGTCGTGGTGTCGAGGCCTTGGGGCCCTAGACGGTAAGTGCCATATCAGTTTTGGGTTTTCTAGTGTCCATTTCTTACTAGTTCCATACCTGTGTAAGTTAGTACAGTCGTGTGGTGTGAAATATACATGTGATGTTATTTTATGCAAAATATGGATACATGTTTTGATTTATTTTTATATTAAATTTTTGCTTTAATTTGACTGCCTAACTCTACACCACTTGAGCTATAAAATGATAAGAATTAGTTCTATCAGATTAAGTTTCCACCGACAATGATTACTGGAAAAAAGATTAGGTGAGATTTAATTATTATTGGTGTGAAACTACTCTTTTTTTTCAGACTTTAAGATGCTTATTTGAGCATTTTATTTGATAAATCTGTTCATAGATCTGGGGTGTATACGAGACCTCAAAATATAACAATAACTCCTTTAACCACTAAGATTAGGAGTGTGCAAATTTGGATTACGGATCCAATCCGATCCGAAAATTCAGGTATCCGAAAATTTTAGATACTAAAATAGTGCTCTGAAAAATGGATATTCGAATTTTCATATTGGATATTTGGATATTCGGATTTAAATATAAAATTTAATTTGACTAAAAAATAATTTTAAATTTTATTTTTTTCGATTTAATGTAACTTATTTGATACATTTACTATATTTTTTATATACATATTTAACTACTCACACATAATCTATAATTTTTATTGGGTTAGAGTTTTAATGTGTTAGTGGGTTACTCATTTATTAGATTAAAGGATATCTAAAATCCAAAAGTCTAACTTTTCCCCGGATTTTTGGATAATACCAAATTGAAATTTATTCAATTCATAGTCGGTATGGTTTTTGATCTTTTTTCTGAATATATCATCCGAATTATCTAAATATTAAAAATAGATCAATATTTAAATTTTTATATCAAATCAATACTCTTTTTGCCCACATTTGTTAAAGTCATTTGATTCATGCGTTTAGTTGAGCATTTTAAAATGACAAATTCTATTATTAATTTATAATTATAAGTTACGTTGAAACTTTAAAAATATTTTTAAAAGAAAATCTAAGATATTTTTCTTAATTAAAAATTTCTATTGTCATTTAGATTTTGAATGATATTTCAAGTTCTTAGTCCTGCTTCCGTCTCATTAAAAATGTCTATTTTGGTTTCTAAATTTATATTATTCAAAACATTTTATTAGAAAAGTTAAGAAACAACAATATTATATTTATTTTTTTTACTTTTACATGTCTCACTCTTTTAAAACTATTAAAATAAATCTATCAAATCTATTCATCACTTTTTAAAATTAATTTTATCATTTCCCTTAATCAAATATATCTCCTAAAACTATATATATAGTCAATATAAAACATAAATAATAGAACGGATAGAGTATAATTTTATGAGACAAAGGTTAATATATTATTAAAAATAAAAAATTATTGACGATGTTTATCAGACTATTATTTTTTAATTCGTTAATTATAAAGATTTTATATAGTATCGCCGCATCAAATATAAATCTTTATTTTATATCATGGCCAGTAATTTCACCAAACGCAGAGCAACAATTTCAGCTTGAGGAAGATTCAAGATTCAATATTATTCATAGTGTTTTATGACACGACCTGTACGATTATATCTGGGTATTAATTGCTGCAATCAAACCCTTCACCATATCCATTATTTCAGTTTAAATAAAATGTAACTTTCACCACCCATGCATGGCCAAAACTTGATCAAACCAGGCTTAGAATCAAGCTCATCTCCGACTTTATGTTCCACTCAGATTGTTTTGATAATGGGTCGCTCTACTTTATGCTATGAAAAAGAAGGGTTGAAAAGAGGTCCTTGGACTGCCGAAGAAGACCAAAAGCTCACCGCTTATATTCAGCAACATGGCCATGGCAGCTGGAGTTCCTTGCCTGAGAAAGCAGGTGGTTTTATGATTGATTAATGTACTCTATGACCTTAAATTTCATGTTTACTTGCTTTTGTTTCAGGGTTGAAGAGATGCGGGAAGAGTTGTAGATTGAGATGGATTAACTATTTACGACCTGATATCAAGAGAGGAAAGTTCAGTTTACGTGAAGAACAAACCATTATTCAGCTCCATGCTTTTCTTGGCAACAGGTGATTACTAAGATCCGTCGTGTTGCTTTGTTCGATCTTTAAAAAATGGAGCTTTGAATCGTTTTTTCCTTTTTTAGATGGTCGGCTATTGCGGTTCATTTGCCCAAGAGGACAGATAATGAGATCAAGAACCATTGGAACACTCATCTGAAGAAGAGGCTAATCAAGATGGGGATCGATCCCATGACCCACAAGCCTCGAATCGATGCACTCAGCTCGTCCGGCCACGAATGTCACAACTCGAATTTAAATCATATGGCTCAGTGGGAAAGGGCTCGCCTCGAAGCGGAAGCGAGGGAAGCAGGGCGCTATTCGTCGAATAAACAAGCCTTGCTGAGAATCCAACCGAAGATCCACCCCGGGACCGATCCTTTATCTCTAAAGCCGAGACCAAAGTGTATCGATGTGCTCAAAGCATGGCAAGATATGGTTACCGGCATGTTTAACTTCCCTAGCCGTGATAACCTCGACTCCCCTACGTCGATATCGAACTCCCCGAATGCTCTGGTTCAAGTTTCGACCGGTGAAACTATTGTAGACCCCAATCATTTATACACATGCAATGAATTGGTTTACATGGATCAAATGCAAGAACTAGAAGGCTGGATGGATGAGCCTACGTCCTCGACGGTGGCTTTAACGCAATACACTACGGAGAACTTATGGTTTGCCGATAACGTAGCGGCGGCTGCGGATTTGAATGAGGGTTCATCCGAATCGGATACTTTGATTGGTATTCCGGTTTCATTTTCATCCATGGAAGTTGAGGCATCAAATGGAAGCTACCCGATAGCCAATAATGGCCAGCCATAGTGTCTTGATGTTTGAGTATATCACTGCGAATCGAAATAGTTCATGCATGCGTGCATGCAGTGATTAGCCATTTCGAACGTTAATGCATGTGATGAATCAGAAATTTTTATCCCAAAGCTTTTATTGGAACTTTTAATCCTTATAATATTAAGTTAATATAAAATAAAATAATTATTAAATAAAAAATTGTTAGAAGAGACAAAAGACAAAAGAGTATCTGTGCATACTGCACACTGAGCAGTAACTAATAAATAAAGAACCTTGGCAGTACTAGCATTGTTTCATTCAGCAGTGATGACAAATTATTTTTCTATATCAAAATGGAAATCCGATGGGTAATCCTTCAACTTTTAAATAACGTAAATTTTGGTCACGAGAATTTCTACGTACAAGGTCTTTCCGTCATTTCCTGATAATCAGTAGATTAACATGAGAAACAAATAAGTCTACAGAAATCGATATCAACAAATGGAAAAAAAAAATAAAGATACGAACTTTGTGCAGAAACAGAAAATAAGACTCGAATGGTATTATTCACATAGTGTAGACCAGATGAGGATATAATAGCTATAGCAAAATATCATATGTACGATGGAGTAATTATTTTGAAGGCAGATATGGTGTTGGGTCTATTTGTGGTTGGGTTGATTGTAGCAGCTGCTATGATTTCTGGCGACTCATATGATGAAGACAACATATGCGTACCTTCCAATTTTCCATTAATGCACCTTATGATACTTAAAGCCCCTACTATAGATTGGTCCACCTCTACTCCCACATACATTTTAATCACATGCTTCTTGTCAAACTCCTTTTTCTTTTCTATAGCTATATTATAAGCTAAACTTTACTTCAAAATAAGTGCACAAACATGCTACAAAATGGTTGCTTTATTCCAAATTTCAACTTGTCTTAGCGCTAATCCACCTTCATCTTTAGGTCTACATACATCACTCAACTTCAACCTTAACTCCACCACCGATCTCATTTTAACCTAGATATCTCACATGAAGCTTGTCGATTTTGAAACTAGTAATCCCGTACAAGAATTTATGTTAGGAATCAAATTTATACAATTCCAAAAGAAGAAAATAAATTATCATTAGAAAATACAAAAAAAAGAACATTTAGATTATATGAAAAATTAATTTTTTTAAGGAATAATAGTCTCCGATAATATCCCTCATCCATCCTTGACCTCTTGTATTTCCCTTAACTCGGCTACACCTATACTCTAGAAGAAGATTTCACTCTCGGGAGAGTTCAGCTTGAGACCTAGAAAGCTATTAAACAAAGATTAAACACAGTGACCTTCCATGATAAAATCAATGTTCCCCTTTGCAAAGGTGAGGAGGTTGCCAGCTGAACGTATGTGAATTATAAACCATATCTTCCAGGCTTTTGAGTAGTCTGTTGGGAAATAAAACAAGTAATTTCCCTATAACTAGATTAGTGAGAATGCGAAATAAAAGTGGAAAAATAATAGCCTAAATTGAGAATGAAGTTCAGCCAATTATGCTTACGTCTCATGATTGCTGCAGATCTTTTACTAAAGGGAGAAAATTTACAGGTGTTTACAAAAACACTTAAGAGAGCTATAATGATTTGGTGATGGTTTTGAAGCTAAATGGGTTAGGGTATTTATAGTTGAAGCTTAATGATAATCCTGTAAATACCCTAAAGTGTGCAAGAATTAAAATATAATTAACTCTTCACAATTTTCAACTAAAATGGATGCCTAATTTGGACCAATTTTAGCTGCCTATGTGTTGCCATAATTCAACAATTTTGGGATTCAATTTTTTACTTCCAAAGCCCCTTAATTTTGACTTCCAACAATCTCCCACTTGAAGACTGATTTTAATGTCTTCAAACCTCGATCGATGCAACATCATTTCTGGTCCTGTTATTCTAGCATGCCAACTGAAGCTGAACACAACTTCAGTTTGTCCATAGTCACCGTCTTGTAAACCCACTTGTTTTGGAGCGCTTTCTCCGTGGTTGCCTTGTCCCTCAACGTATTGGCTCCCTTCAACTATTGTCTATTAGTCTTTGAAGGATTGTTCCTCACTTGAACATCCTCGGCAAGCCCTTGCTTCGACCCTTCTCTTATGATGGTCTCTGAAGCCATGTTCTCTACGCGAACATGCTCGGCAAACTCCTTGGACATGGACAACTCCTCCTGCACTTGGCTTCTACTCGCCTTGGCAGAAATGAACCTTATTGAGCCAACTCTCAACGCCTCTTCGATCCTAGGTTCGTCCTCTTCTTTGGATAACTCGATCTTGGGCTCAACCATCACCTTGGATGACTCGACTCCCCTCGAGTAATTTTGCAACACTTCTGGCATCTTAAGTCTGCGCCCCCTCATTTGCTCAACTCTTACCCTCGGCTTAGCATCTTTGACACTTGAAATTGTGCCAAGAATGCACTCATCTTCTCCAAACTTGTCATCTGGTTCATCATTGAGTGGTTTTTCTCTACCACTCGAGGAACAATATTCCTCATCCTCTGACTTGCCTTCATCATGGAATCTCTTGTCGCTACCCTCGGCTTTCGGCTTTGCTTTGGAAGTCTTGTTCTTCTTGACTCCAAATTCTTTGATGGACTCAGTGGTTGTCAAAGCTTTAGACAACTCCTTAACTTCCCTTCGCTCCAACACTCTCTTCGCCCATGGCTTCAATCCGAACATGGAGGTGAAGAATCCATCTTCTTCAGTCAAACTTGGGACTTTGAGCATGAGTTTTCTGAATCGACTCGCATACTCCTTAAGTGTCCCTTTATGCCTAATACGCCTCAACTTGGACTACGCCTCCATCCTGGCATACTGTGAGCATACTTGCTCACTTTGCACCTTCAGCTTGACGGCTTTATCTCTTGCTATCGCACCGGGTCCCTTCTTGTGCTCGACTGCTTTGACACTCGCAGTCTCGTCACGTTTCGATCCTGGGTTGACTACTTGAGAACTTGTAATCGCACCACTCTTGCTCCTTGATTCGGCTACTTTGGAACATGTAGCCTCACCAAATCTTTCACATGTCTTGATTGCTTGGATGCTCGCAATCTCGGGCTTTCTTCCGAGTTCGACTGCTTCAACATCAATAGCCTTGCCTCGTCTCGATCCTTGCTTGGCCGCATTGACCCCCTCAATCGAACCAAGTATTTTCTCTGGCTTGGCAGCTTTAACACTTGCAACCGTGCCAATTCCCGCTACTTCTCCTTCTTAAATCCTCTTCATGATGGTTGCAAGGCGACGCTTCTCGGGATATCCTCTAATCAAATGAGGACCATAACAGAAATAACACTTTAACTTTTCTTTGCTCACCTTCTTCTTCGCACCGGACTTAGCCTTGTCATTCTTTCCCGATGACTTTCCTTGGCTATTAACAATCGATGGCTCCCATTGGCCATTCGAAGAGTTTCCTCTACCATCTCCCCGCTGCACCTTTTCCCGGTCTCCCCCATTATTACCACTATCTCTGGGCATGGGCCTGAACGACACATCGCTCGCAACTTCTCCCTCTTCCATCCTATTCATCTGCAATAATCGCTCCCACTCGAATATGGCTTCGTTTGGATCGTTTCTGACAATTTCTACGAGCCACCGTGTATTAGAATACCTCCGTCGACAAACTCGTATCGTCGACCAAATTTTACTATTCACAAAATTCACTATTCATGTGAATAGTAACCTCGTAGAAAAACCAACAAAATTAACCACCAAAAGCTCCTGATACCAGTTGTGTGGAAATAAAACAAGTAATTTCCCTATAACCAGATTAGTGAGAATGTGAAATAAAAGCGGAAAAATAATACCCGAAATTGAGAACGGAGTTCAGCCAATTATGTTTACGTCTCCGAATTGCTGCAGATCTTTTACTAAAGGGAGAAAATTTACAGGTGTTTACAAAAATACTTGAGAGAGAGCTAGAATGATTTGGGGATGATTTTGAAGTTAAATGGGTTAGGGTATTTATAGTTGAAACTTAATGACTAATCTTATAAATACCCTAAAGTGTACAATAACTAAAATATAATTAACCCTTCACAATTTTCAACTAAAATGGCTGTCTAATTTGGACCAATTTTAGCCGCCCATGTGTTGCCATAATTAAACAATTTTGGGCTTCAATTTTTGACTTCCAAAGCCCATCAATTTTGACTTCCAACATAGCCTAATTCAAATCTGGGTTCACCGCTATTCAAAGTGGATTAGACCAAGGCTCAATTACAATTGGACCGTAGCCAACCGAGGGTTTCAAAGTTCAAGCCTTTTTTGAGCCTAAACCAAAATACTCTTAAACCGTGGATTGTTTCATTTCTAAATGGTCCAAATTATGTGAGGCAGAATCCAACCCCAACGCGGTCTAGTTTGTGTTTAAATTTAATGTTTTTCTATTTAAGAGTTTTGAAAGATTATATATAATTTAGATATTGTATAAAAATATACAAGTTATGAAACTTGATTTAAATTTGTTTATAACGTAGACCTAAATAGTCACATTGGATCCTTGGAACCATCACAAGTACGACCGGCATTTATTTGAACGAAAATGTTACGTCGTCAATTTGAATTTCGCTTAATCCGACTCGAAATATTCACAATGTTACTTGTTTAATAAAAAAATGAAATTGAAAGAAAACAAGAATCTGTGGTGGATTATAAGTAGTTTAGGTATTGTATAAAATAAAAAAAACTTATCTTAGTTTTTATTAAAAATATGAATTCATATTGAATAATGTTTTTATAGTCTAAGATTCATTTATCATCAAATAACAAACTTTGTAAATAAATAATAAGAATTATGATTATTAGTTAACTCTTATAAGACATTGTAAAACCTATCAAATTTTTCATATTATAATGATTTTTTGTTATTTATCTATATTATTTCATATTAAAAATGTATACATAAATGTGTGTATTCTTATCTTTTTCATATTATCTTATTATAATATTTATATGTATCAAATAAATAATTATGACTGAGATGCATTTAATTTGCCCGACCATTTTAGAAATGGGTGAAAAGAATAAAAGAAGGCTGCCCCAAGTCATCAATAGGTTTGCCAGGTATTGAAAAAAAGGGGGGCCAATTTGATAGTTTATAGAATCCTATGTTTTCCATTGATTTACAGTAAAATAATAACCCAAGCATTCGGGTTGGGATGTTCCTGTAAGATAATCGTAAGTGTCGAGAAGTGTTGGAGTTTGCACATCATCACATGTTTCGTAACCAAAAGATAACATAATATAAGGTAACAAAAAAAAAGCGAAGAATGAAGATGGATAAAGATAGTAATCAAAGTTCAACAAAGGGTGTATGATAATTATCTCGAGATATAATAAATCTTTTTTAAAATTTAAATTCGATCAGATTTATCGAATGTGAATATTTTTTATAATGTTTATCAAAATACATAGCAATAAGTTTACGAAATATTGTTAGGTTATTGGTAGATATATAGTGTAGTTGCTAATACTTAATAGCAAAGATTTTGAACGTTGTGATGAGGCATAGGGAAGATCCAAGATAAAATCAAAATGGGGCAATGACCATTAAATTTAAGTACAAAGGAATTAAATTCCACTGGAAAAGATGAACTATATTGAGACACACCATCTTAAATATCCTTAATAAAGGATACCCACCCCCGCACCACTTCATAAATGGGATTTGTTTGCACTGATTATAAAATTGCTTGGAAATTTTCTTATATTAAAATTAAGTCTTTAATTATGAAATATTGTCTACGTGATTTGTTTGTTATACTTAGGGCTGTAAATGAGACGAGACAGATCCCGAGCTATTCGAGATCGACTCGATCAAGGCTCGATAAATACTCGGATCGAATGGACTCGAGCTCGAGCTCGACTTGAGTTCTTAACGAGCTAATCGATATTCGACTCGAAAAGCTCGTGAGCAGCTCGAAAATATAATATATTAATATTTTATTTTAAAAATAAATTAATAATAATATTAATATTTATGTATTGATTTTTTTAAAAAAAATACAGTAAGATTTCATGTATTTAAGGTTCATGTTCGAGTTTGAGGCTTCAATCGAGTTAAGTTTAAGAATTTTTTTTTTCATTTCGAGCCTTTTCGAGTTGCTCACGAGCTTCAGTTCAGGATTTCGACTTCGAGTCGAGCTTGAAAATTTTAAGCTCGCGAATTTTCGAGTCGAGTCGAGCTTCATTTTAGAGTTTTTGAATCGAGTCGAACTCAGCAATACTCGAGCTCGACTCGGCTCGTTTACACCCCTAGTTATACTTAAGGCAATGGCCCCATGTTAAAAAAAACCCACGTTCATGGACAAATTTTCAGGTAAATATAACTCTACTGAAAGTCTGAAATTAGTATTTGTACTGCTTAAAATCTCTTGTTTTCTTGAATTAATATTTTATATTTATGCCTGATTAAATTTGAACCACAATTTGTTCAACTCATCTTTAATCTCGTGTTTGGTTTCTAATATTAATGTCTTTGATCTATCCAAAATTAAATAGAGTTATCTAAGTCTGTCAGGAAGAGACCATACAATAAACTTAAAATATAATATATAACCCCACCCTTGCTTTCTAATATTAATGTTGTTGTCTTATCCAATTGTTGTTAGGGTTGAAAAAAAAACATGGTGGTACAATTGCAATAATTATGTTCCAATTTACTTATGATCAAATCATGTTGGTGTGTCAAAATCTTGGAAATGATGTCGAGCTTTGGAGATCGACAATCGAAAACTTGGTAATGGTATAATAATTAAGAATTTAATTGCTCGGTGATGATGATAACATAGTTGTTTTTGGTGTCCTTTAAGAGAACGAAAGCAATGAGGTCATCTTGATCTTTGTTTTGGGCCAGTCAATATATTTGTTATTTATGTGAAAGACATGATTGATCAATTATTATGGTAGTTATTAATTTTATATGAGTTTTATATGTATTAATTACTTTTTAATAAATTTATTATCTTTGTTGTTTTGTGTAGTCTTAATTGGTATAATGTTCAATATTATCGATATCAATGTGTGTTATCGATTTTGACGATGATTAATGACCTGCGAAGAATAATGGATGTGGATGTGTCTAATCAACAATGTTACCATTGATTATAAATAATGAAAATAAAACAATATCATCGGTGAAAATAGTGTCATTGGATGTGGTGTTACTGATGAAGGAACAATACCGATCAAATATGATGCATATGAAACAAAAATTAAGTTGGATATTAATATTGTTGGACTCAGCACAAGGGGAACAAAAAAAAGTGAACATTGCATCGACGACAATGACAGTGTATGTTCTCATGTTTTGAGAGGTGTTGCTAAGGATGAATTGAAATGGTTCGTTCTTTTCTGATTAGTCGGGGACGATGATGTTATGTCGATGAACGTTTTTCCCTACTTCGATAAATAGATACGACTCATTCCTCATCGAACAATATATATGACTTTTCGTTTTGCATTAACCATCACATGCAATAATTTGAAACCGTCATATCATGACTAAGAAAAGATGACTGCCGAGAATATGATAATGTCGTGTCTCCTGAATTGTTAACTATTCGTGCTTGCTCTACCAATCAACATTTGTTGCCCCTCATCTATCAACTTTATGCATGTTGTCTAAGTTAACATCTGATTCTAAAATGGATTGTACAAAACTAAAATGATGCAGCATACGATCACTCAGATGCTTGTCAACTATTATTATAAGAGACAGTCACATTTATAAGTTTAATGAAACACAAAGTTGGGTGGGATATAAGCCCCCAATCCAATATTTAAATAGGACATCAATTGAAACTACGAATGAAAAAACTAATAATTACTAAAGATAAATTTATAAATGAATTTTTAACTATCACATAAATAATATGAAAATTTTAGTTATTAACACGTACATCTTTCCTCATGGATCAATAATCAGAATATATTTAAATTTAGATTAAAATAACTCTAAACACAATTTATAAATAGTGGAACTTAAAAATAAATATGAATCGAAAACTTGTAAATAGTTTTTATGAAATTGTGAAACTCGAACATAAATGTCCAAGAACTTAGAGCCTCAGCCATTACCAAAATTTATAAAACAAAATCATAATTTTAAGTTGAGATAATAAACATCTGAATAAATATTAGCACTATTAAGCATATAAAAATTACCAATAATATTTACGTGAGACGCAATCGTTAAAATTCCAAAATCTCAGCATTGATTCTAAACCAAGCGGATGCTAAGAGTAGTTGATAAACAAATTTGGGAGTAGATGTTGAGGTTTGGGGAAATATTAAAGTGGTCGTCGTTGTTCGCCAAGTAGTTGGACTAATTTATTTACTTTCATTCATGACTGTGTCAGTTATTGCATTTCCCCTCGATTATCATCGCCTATATATTCCCCACCCAACACCATTACTCTTCACTTTCAACCAATTCTCCTTTCTTTTCATCTTCTGTCATTGAAAAACATAATTCATTCACTCAACTCCCAGCTTAAGCAGCCTTTATTTTAAGGCCAATATGCGGCGGCGATCGTCTATGAATAATGGCAATAAGGAGGTGGCCGGTTTGAAAAGAGGGCCGTGGACAGCTGAAGAAGACGAAATACTGACGGCTTATATTCAGAAACACGCCCATGGTAACTGGCGCGCCTTGCCAGAGAAAGCTGGTAATTCTTTAGCTTTTTATTATTATTTGGATAAATTACACAAATGATTGTTAAATTACGTAGACAATAAAATTCTAAAAATAATAATTAAATTTATCGAACCATTAAGGAATAATTCGGTTATTTATATAGGACTCCAACGGTGTGGGAAGAGCTGTCGATTGAGGTGGATTAATTACCTAAGACCTGATATCAAAAGAGGAAAATTTAGTTTACAAGAAGAACAAACCATCATTCAACTCCATGCCCTTCTTGGAAACAGGTAATTATATTTAGTTTATTATTATTAACAATTCGTCTATAATTTGTACGAACTCGTTGATGTTCAAGTTTCCGACACGTTTTTTTTTTGTCCGAATTCATTTAGGTGGTCGGCAATGGCAACTCACTTGCCAAAAAGGACAGACAACGAGATCAAGAACCATTGGAATACGCATCTCAAGAAAAGGCTGATAAAGCTAGGTATCGATCCGATGACTCACAAGCCTCGCGTGGATGCATCAAGCCCCCTGTCTGGTTCCACCAAGAACGGTTCGAATCTAAGCCATATGGCTCAGTGGGAGAGTGCTCGCCTAGAGGCTGAAGCTAGGTTGGTCCGTGACACGAAACAGGCTGTTGCCCCAAACCCGAATCCTATCCACCAGAAGAACAACCACCTTACACTCGATCAGAATCGGCTCAGACCGAGGTGCCTCGACGTACTCAAAGCATGGCAAGGTGTAATTGCGGGCATGTTTTCGTTCCCCAGCCAGGAGCTTGAGTCCCCGACTTCGACCCTTAGTTTCCCCGCCGTCGGACACACCGCCACTTGCTATACGGATGGTGAGATGGGGTTTGATGCGTCGAAATGCGTCGATAAATCAAACCAGTTGCAGGAATTTGAGGAAACAATGATGGATAGCGACATCGATGCATGGTTCGACAATTCATTTAGGGTTGGAAATTATGAAAACATTGATGAAAGCTTCTCGGATGCTTTGACTATGACTGTACCGATGGTTTGCGATAGTGTACTCGATTTGGTGAACTCTTCACCATTTGGTTCCTATATATTTTGATCTTAATGTAATGTAATGAACCAAACTTTCATGTAGTGGTGGATCTTATTAAAATAATTTATAGAATTTCATTAATTTATTTTAAAATTTTAAAAACATGAAATTATATATAAACTCTAATCTAATGTGTGGTTCATAAAATTCAATTTTCTTCTATCACTAACATTTTTACCAACACTCCATTATTTTACGTTTGAATATTTAAGAGCTGAGATTGATTAAAACAGTAACCAATTTCGCTTTATATGTTTTTAAAGCACAATAAATTACGTACGAATCAAACGATCTTATAGTCTAGAAATTGAAGGAATAATTGTTATATCTAAATATTTCAAGTTTGATCATGACTTTGGTATTTAAGTATTTGGAATCTTTCAAACAAATAATATCTTATAAGCACTTTAAACTAATTAAAAATATACCATAATTTTATCAAAATTTTGGTCATCTGTAAACAACTTCGGTTAATATAGTAAAACTAATCATACTTCTCTAAATAACTTTTTCACGAATATTATAATTTTATTTTTTAAAATAATTTTATCATTTCTCTTAATTTTACTAAAATCAGTGTTTTCATATATTGTATGCAATAAATTAACAAAAACCAATTGTTTAAATTCAAAGTTTTATAATAATAACATAAATACAATAATAATGATTATATACAATAATCGTAAATTAAGTACATCAAAATTTAACTCAAAAAATCCTTACGAGAAAAACTACGAATAGACTAATAGAAAATTCATTAGGCTGAAAAGAGTATAAAAAAATTGTATTTAAGCACAATTTTAGATTTAATCAACTTACTTCTAAATTCTAATCTTTAGTGTTTATTTATAGAGATTTTTTTTTACTTATAAAAAGACTTGTATAGAATATTTTTTACTCAAACTGAGTTTTTACTCTTCGCCGACGCACAAAAAAAATTATATAATTCTACACAAATTGAGCTTCTTCGTACCGCCCATCACCACATATATTCATTTTAAAGGTTAGCTAACCCGTCACTGGATCTTTTCATGTTTCATTTCATATTGCCGAGGCTCGAAGACTGCTGATTGAGCACCCGAGTTTCGGAGTTGTTTTTGTTCGTATAGATACTAACATTATAGCTCATACTTTAGACTATTGAGCAACGATTTTGTTATGATAAGAAAGAGAGGCAAATTAAAGGGTCTTTGTTTTACCTGTGTATGTATATGAATGCGTAGAACAGTCCGGATTGAAGTATGAGTTATGTGAATCAGTGCCAGTTTTCAGGCACAATAAAGGAAGTAGCTGAATAATAAAAGCCGTAAGTAATAATTACGAGCTAAATGTTGATTTCAATTAGCCTCATCACTGTCAATGCCTGCTACTGTTTGTTGGTGTTGGAGACAAATTCCTCGCACCCAGTTTCGGGTAAACATTGTTAAATCAGCTCATATAATGATGGTTGAAACTTTGCTCATAATTAATATCTCTGAAATCTATTTTCATTTCAACTGTTTTTCCTTTCTTTTCTTTTTCTATTGATTAATTTGCAAACCTACTTTTTTATGACACCCTCGTTGGTTTTATGATGAGTCGGTGTATAATTCACTTAGTAGATGATCAACTCTATTTGTGACCCATTGTCTCAACTTCTATTTTCCCATTTTACCTCAAGTTTTGCTTATAATTTTATATTTTCAAGTATATTCGAATACTACAATATAGTTATAATAAAAATATAATTAGTATCCTACTAATTATTTGAGAGGTAATTACATGCATGGAATTGAAAATCTCTCACATATATCATGTTTGACATTATAAATCTTTAGAATTTGGATTTTAAAATATTATTAATTTTTATGAAAATTTATCAATAATACTTTAAAACATTCTCTAAGTATTTAGTTAAGTACCTAGTAATTGAATGACTAATAAAAATAATAAAATGAAACTAACATCTAGTTAAACTAGTAAGATGAGATATTAGATTCTTTATATGAGATCAACCGTTGTAATCTTGACATTGTTAAAGTTATTCATTTTCATATAATGTATTATTAGATTTATGGTGTGGTAACTATTCCACCTTATCGTTTTTTTTTATCAAAATTAGATTTTTCGTTCACTTTTAAGTTTCATTGAAAATCGTTATTTGTCGACGTCTTTTACGACTATCATAGATATTGATAAACTCGTCTCATTGTTTTCTATCACTTTATCGATTTAAATTTTTTAAATTTTATTTAAACTCACGAAATTAGATTTAAAAAGTCCATTATTTTAGAGGTATTTATCAAATTTGAAGGGTTTGAGGTGTTTGTTTGAAAATTCAAATTGTAAGAAATATTTATTTTGAAAAGATGAACAATGTATCTCAAAATTAGCCTCATATGATGGTTGTCGAAGGAGATCAAAATAATATCGTGTCGAATCTTTAAATTACTTTTCATCAATTTTGAGTTAGTTTCGTTGAAAAATAATGAGAATAGAAAATATTAGTGAAATATATAGAGATGTTTGATACTGATCTTATCACGAATAGTGATCGATAATAGGAGACAACAATGGACAATTGACTATTAGTAGCACCGACAGCTGAAAAGTTTAGTTGTCTAAAATTTTGAAGTGTTTTAAAGTTTGGTGACTAAATCAATATATAAACTAAAAAGTTTATATAGTCCACCAAAATGACAGCATTTTGAGAATTCATATAGTCACACCAAAATAACTTTGTTTTAACCACATTAATGGAAGATGTCATTCATGTCATCACATCTTTTTTGAGTTAACTATTCAATGACATAATTGAATATAAAAGTAAAGTTTAATATTACAATCATATTGATTTAAAGTTCAATGATAAGATTAATACAAACATTAAAATTCAGTGAAATATAAGAATAAACACATAATCTTATGTCAAGGTATAAACTCTCAAAAGAATATATTAAAAATTTAAGATTATAAAATTATAAAATTTCATTGACGTAAAATTAAATTATTTTGAATAAATATTTAAAAAAATTAAAAAAATAAAATGCGATCATCCCCTGATATACCGATCCATCTATAATGAATGGTATATGAAATATTTTAGCCTAAAATATATCTTTACAAGGGATGGCAACGTGACTAGAAACGGCAAAATTAATGATTTCTTCCTAAAAACATTATGACGCTTTAATTAATTAATTAATGTGAAAGAGAAAATGAGCAAGGCACGTGAAGGATAGGATTGGATTGGATTTCACACTTCACCATTCACCTGTCCATATTAATTTTTATTAATTTTCACATTTACTTCATTTCTCTAATATGTGTGTATGTTGGCCTCTCTAAATTGGAAAATTTGCCTTTCAATACCTTGACAAACCATCCATTTGAATTTATATATATATATATATATATATATTACTTGTATTTAAAATTCTAATTATAAATAAATAAGTAATATAGAGCATTAATTAATCAAATCAAAAGTCATTTGCACATTAATTCCATGGGAATTTAATCCTTATAATTAGTAGTAGCTCCACCATCTTATTTCATGAATTCAATTCGGATCATTGATGTTAAATACATAAATGATGAACATGCTTTCTTGCTTAATTTATTCATCTCCCCTAATTCTCAACGGTTGTCATTATTATTGCAATTAAATCAGTTTAAATTCGTTTTCCTACCAACTATTTTTAATACATTTAAGAAAAAAAAATCCATTGATTTATTTTCCTTAAACATGACCTTAATTAGTATTAATTAACATTTTTCTTGATATTAATACCTATAAAGGTATTAATACCATTTGCTATATTGAATTAAGCTCCGTCAGTTCTTGAGACATTAGGGCAGACAACTTAATGCCAATTATTAATGAAAACCAAGAGGCCCTACGATGCCACAAATCTCAGAAATACAGAGTCAGTGCAATTATTTATACCTGTCACCCTTTTGCTTTTAACGAATGTATCTACTTAATTTTATAAAATTATATCAAATTGTTATATATTCAAGAATAATAAAACTAACACACAATGAAAATTTGTCTATGTATTTAGTTATTTACTGCATGCCACATGCAGTTGAAAGTACGTCGGAGATGTAATTGTATCTGTAAAAATGTTACATCTTCCACTATCTACGTTTATTGCTTTCCGTCTTTGTTGGTTGTGCAATATTAATATATTAACAATTTATAAAAACATGTTAATATTTTTAAGATTGAGATCTTGAGATATTCTAGGTTTCATGTTTCAATCTTATCATATGCAAATGCACGTATGAAATCTTATCCTATTTTTTTATTATAAATTTTGGTCATATTTTGTTTATTTGTTAGATTTTATTAAATAACTCACTTATTCCATTGATATCAAAATAATTAATTTTCAACATTTAAAAACAATTTGATTTATCAAGTCCAGTAGTGCTTTAACTATGTTTTTAACTAATTTGAAGCTATAAAAGATTGAACCCTACTTGTTGACTCAATCAACAATAGAAGAATGTTCACATAAGTTGGATAATCAAGCTCAAATTTAGAATAAGAATAAATAATGTTTTAAATCTTATGATCACTTAAATTAAATAATATGTAAATGTTTAAATACAATCTTAATTATAATTAAGATAAGAGTTAATTGCATAATATGTCCTCAAATTATAACCCTCATTTTAAATTGACCCTTAAACTTTTGAATATTCTAATTCCATCCCCAAGCAATCACTCTCATTTTAAATTTGCCTTAAACTTTTAAACATTCTAATTTCATCCCTACACGATGACCTTTTTTCTAAATTAGTTCTTAAACCTTTGAATATTCCAATTCCATCCCTAAATTCATCCAAAAATGTAATTAGTTTCAACTATAATTTAACCTAAATTCTATTTTTTCAAACATATAATAATATAATTTGGCATAGCGATTTTATTAACAAGGGATTTCATTAGTATATACATATATTTTGAGATGAAATTGAAATGTTCAAAACATTTAGGGACCAATTTAGAAAATGCCATAGTTTGTGGATGAAATTGAAATATCTAAAAGTTTGATGTCTAATTTAGAACGACATTCATAGTTTAGAAATGTAGTTGAAACATTTAAAAGTTTAGAGATCAATTTAAAATGAGGGTCATATTTTGAGGACAAGTGGTGTAATTAACTCTTAAAATAATTATTAGTATATTAGTGTTAGAGTTTTTTCACAAACGATTTATTTTTTTGGTTATAAGGGTATGGATTCATAGACGAAAACATACAAAGGGAAATATTATCACATGCCTCGTTAAAAACTCTTCTAATCCTAGTCAAAGGAAATTTCACAGACGATATTTTTAATATAGTGTTATACATCGTTTATTTAAATATTAATTAAAGATATATGATAATAGATTAAAATCATTTTTAATATATATATATTGTATATTAAATAATAATTCAAATAATTATAACTAAAATAAATTATCACAATATACGATCAGACTAATAATTATAATATCAAGAGAGAATTTATATTTGATTTTGTGCATAGTTATACTCTAACTCAAAAGTCTTTTTGATTTATGATTTACATATTGTACACGATATAATAAAATAAATTTATGGTAAAGTATACAAATGGTCCTCCGACTATAAGACATTGTTTTATTGAGTCTCTCGACTATTAAAAGTTATAAATAGTCATCCGACTATAAGGTGTTGCTTTGTTGAGTCCCTCAAAAATTAAAGTTACAAAATTGTCACTCGACTATTCATTATGTTTCAAACTCGTCTTTTATCGTTAAAAAAATTGATAGTCGTCTGAGCTGAAAGTTAATCTGTTGATTGAGATATGATAGTCATTTGAGATTATGAGATTATATTTTATCATACCTCAGTCAGCAGATTAACTTCTAGCTCAGTCTGCCGTCAATTTTTTAACATTAAAGGACGAGTTTGAAACATAATTAATAGTCGGGTGATCATTTTATAACTTTTAATAGTCAAATGACTCTACAAAATAACATCTTATAGTTGAGGGACCATTTTTTAACTTTAATAATCGAATGACTCAACAAAGTGATATATTATAGTGGGGACCATTTGTGTACTTTACCCCATAAATTTACTTATAATAAAGGGTAAAACGGTCAAATGGACCTTCACCGTATTCGCTACACTATTGCAGCACCGCCTATATATTGCATTCATATTTTCTACTTGAAGTGATTAACAATCATTTCCGACATTGTTTTCCCTTTGCTTTCAACTCTCTCCTTCACTGTCTTGTTTCCAAGGAACAAAAGCTTTCTGTGTTTGTTTTTTTTTTCACTTGTTCTATACCAAGAACATGGGACGGTCTCCATGTTTCGATAAGGTGGGGCTGAAGAAAGGGCCATGGACTCCCGAAGAAGATCAAAAGCTCTTGGCTTTCATCGAACAACATGGCCATGGAAGCTGGCGCGCTTTGCCTGCAAAAGCTGGTAATAATCGTTAATAATTTTATATATATTTTCCATTTTCGATCAGAAATCACGCATTTTAATTACTGGTTTTTTACCTTTGCTTTTGATGTAAAATAGGGCTTCAAAGATGTGGCAAGAGTTGCAGACTGAGGTGGATTAACTACTTGAGACCCGATATCAAAAGAGGAATGTTCAGTCTACGAGAAGAACAGACCATCATTCAACTCCATGCCCTTCTCGGAAACAAGTGATATTCTGTCGTTATCTAATTCGTTGATTGTATGTAAAATTATTAGATTGATTAAATTGATTTCAATATATATGTCTATAGGTGGTCGGCTATTGCAACTCATTTACCAAAAAGAACAGACAATGAAATCAAGAACTACTGGAACACACATCTGAAGAAAAGATTGAGCAAGATGGGGATCGATCCGGTCACCCACAAGCCTAAAACCGATCCTCTCGGGTCCACAACCGGTAACGCCAAGGATGCAGCTAACCTCAGCCATATGGCTCAATGGGAGAGTGCTAGGTTAGAAGCCGAAGCTAGGTTTGTTCGAGAGTCGAAACTCGTTTCGAATCCTCCCCAAAATCTACAGATAGCCGTTGGCTCGTCCTCTTCCTCTTCTTCTTCCACCTCGGTTCCAAGCCTCATTAACACTGCTTTTTTGGCTCCGCCAAAAACTAGGCCACAATGCCTTGAAGTGCTCAAAGCTTGGCAAGGCGAAGTCACCGGATTGTTTACTTTCAAAACCGACAACCTCCAGTCTCCGACATCAACATTGAACTCCATGGAAAGCATGTTACCTAACGGATTAATCAACGACAACTTCGTTACGAACTTTCCGGTTCCTTACAAAGGTGGGGTTGAATACTGTAGTGGAAGTGATGGGAAAAATAAGGAAACATTATTAGACACCACCATGGGATTGAATGAAATGGTTGCATGGTCTCATCAAGATCCTCACAAGAAAGAAAACATGAATATGGAAGGTAATAATTATTCGGATATAATGGTTTGGGATTCTTGCAATGATCATCAGCAGAATTCGTCAATAGCGGCGCCCTGTGAAAACTTGAAGGAAACAAACTATGATGGTGATTATAGCAGTAGTAGTTTTGAGGAGTACAAGAATTACTGGAATAGTATCCTTAATTTAGAAAGCTAAATAGTCGAGCATGGCTACAATGAAGATTGAAGAGGCCAGTAATCATGTGGTTAATTTGACCTAATATTAAATTTAAGAGCTAATATACAGTAAAAGGATTGAGATCCTCTCAAGTCTCAACTTAGATATGACTTTATTGTCTCTATTTCTAATTTATAAAATAAAATTAAACCAAATCAAATACGTAAAATTCATTAAAAATCAGTTATAGATAATATTTAAGTGTATTTCAATTTAAATCCACCCTCTAAAAGAAGTCATAAAATCCTACAATTATTATTCTTACTATTGTAAAATCGAAGAACGGAAGTAACCATCAATTCATCATCAACAAATGGTCCTGCACTGCTGGCATATTTCCGATCTATTATTTATAAAAAAATACTTAATATAACATAAGTGTTTAAACTATATTCAAAATTAATTTTTAATATTTAATTTTTTTTTGTTAAAAATAGATTTATAATATTTTCTCCGTTATACTTTAGGTGCCTACCGTTAAAAAGAACTATTGAGTGACACATTTCACATTCAGATTTTATAAAATATATATTGTTAAATAATTAAAAAACATAAACGTGACATATGTCATTTAAAGAGAAATTTTTAATGATAAACACCTAAAAATATAACGGGATTTTTGTAAAGATTGTTGAGCTTACCCCCACACTATATATTAAGCATATTTGGACCATTTTAACATACATTGGTTTTGAGAAGACAGTGTCGGCTCTGGGTAGGGGCAAGAGAGGCATCCTCCCAGGACCCGTAATTTTAATTTATATTAACTTATTATATTTTAATAGACTAAATTAAAAATAGGGCTCATAAATATTAATATATTATTTTCTTATATTAATACAAGAGGGCCCATAAACTTATTTTTTATTGACTTATTATTCTCATTATAAAGTTAAAAACTATATTAATATACTAAATTAAAAGCATATCCCATAAATATTAATAAACTAAATAAAAAACAAGGCCCATAAATTTATTTCTTATTGACTTATTAGAAAAAATGTTGTAATAATTTTAAGATTATTTTTTCTCATAATAATTTGTCGTATGTTGATGCAGATGATTTTTTCTGAAAATAAAGTGTTGCAATTGACTTTGTTAAATGTATTCATGTTAGCGCTTGAAGTTCTTGAGTTTGTTAAAGCTAGAGATTGTTGTTTCAATTGCTTATCGAATCTTATTAACAATGCCGGTAACGGTAGCATCCGCGGAAAGAAGTTTTTCAAAACTGAAATTATTGATGCATTAATTGAGGTCAACAATGTCACAAGAAAGATTGAATGGACTAACTATGTTATATATTGAGAAAAATATGTTGAAAAGCATTGATGTTGACACTATCATAAATGATTTTGCATCAAGAAATGCTCGAAGGTAATATTTTTTTATAAGTATTTATATGTTTAATTATGTTTTTGACATTATTAATATTGTAATGAATTAATATTTATTTAATTTAATAAAAAATTATTAAAATTTTATATTACATATTTTTTAATATTTTTTTATATTAAGACCCAATTTTTTTAATTTTACCCCGGCCAAAAACAAAAGTAACCGGCCCTGTGACTGTGAGAAGAGTTAGTTTTCAATATTCCTCATCTTTATTCTTCTCGATCATTACACCTACTGTTTTCAGACAGTAGCCAAAGTAGGAACGCAAGTGTCAAAGATCAATCATTACACCTACTGCTAGTTTCTGTGAGAATGGTGCGGTGCTCATTTAGTACACTATTGTAGCATCGCCTATACATTGCCTTCATATTCTCTACTTCGACTGATTAACAATCATTTCCGATATTGTTTTCCCCTTGCTTTAACCGGCTCGTTTCCGAGGAACAAAACTTTCTGTGTTTGGTTTTCTTTTTCACTTGTTATATACCCAAGGACATTGGACGTTCTACATGTAGCGATAAACTGGGGTTGAAGAAAGGGCCATGGACTCCCGAAGAAGATCAAAATCTCTTGGCTTTCATTCAACAACATGGCCATGGAAGCTGGTAATAATCATTAATAATGATATATATATATATATATATATATATATTCCATTTTAGATCAGAAATCACGCATTTTAATTACTGGTTTTTACCTTTGTTTTTGATGTAACATGGGGTTTCAAAAATGTGGCAAGAATTGCAGACTGAGGTGGATTAACTACTCGAGACCCGATATCAAAAGAGGAAAGTTTAGTCTACATGAAGAACAAACCATCGTTAAGCTGTACGCCCTTCTTGGAAATGTTACAGAAGATGGTTATCAGATAGAATAAAAATGTAATTGATAATTTGAGAAAATAATAATTGAAGAAAAAAGAGACACAAAATTTATGTGAAAAACTCCTAAATAATATAGGGTAAAAACCACGGGCAACGGTAGAAAAATTTCACTATGAGAAAATAAGAATTATAATCTCTCTCGATTTCCTAAGGAGAAAACAATAATAATTCTCTCTTGATAAAAAAAAAGAGAAAAATAACTCTCAATAAACTCTCTAAATTCTCTAGTATTAGAAGAAAATTAGAATGTTTTAGAATGATTTTGAAGCTAAATGAACTAGGGTATTTATAGTTGAAACTTAAAGACTAATTTATAAATATCCTAAATTACAATAACTAAAAATGATTTTACCATTTCTAAAAAATCAATAATTTTAGCCACCTAATTGCATGTGCACCGAAAGTTTCTTTGGCCATTTGTTGGCTGATTTTTCAATTTCTTTGGCAATTTATTGGTTAGCTTTTCAACAATCTCCCACTTGAAGATTTGATTTGAACAATCATATCTTCACACTATTCTTTCTACCTTGTACCTTCATGTTGCTTATGTTTCTGTCAGGCCACAGGAGGATCGACACCAGGTAAATTTATCAGCATTGATTGCCTTCGTCATGAAATCTTCTATGTTGTCTTTGGTATGGATCGTCTGCATATCTATCGTTCCTTCTTCCACCTTTTCACGAATGAAATATTACTGAACCCGTATGTGCTTTGTTCTTGAATGAAATGTTGGATTCCTTGCTAGATGCAAGGCGCTTTGACTGTCACAAAACAGAGAAACATGCTCTTGATTGTGCCCAAGCTCATCCAATAGCATCTTCAACCAAATTGCTTCTTTACTGGCTTGTGTAACTGCTACATATTCTACCTATGTTGTGGATGTAGCCACAACTTACTGCAATTTTGAAACCCAGCTTACAGCTCCACCATCAATTTTGAACACATATCCTGTGGTAGATTTGCTTTTATCCAAATCCCCTGCATAGTCAGAATCTACATACCCATTGATTAGTAAATTTGATCCTCTATAACATAATGCAACATTTGAGGTCCCTTTGATGTATCTCAAGACCCTTTTTACTGTATTCCAATGCTCTTTGCTTAGATTCGCCATGTACCGACTAACCACTCCCACTGCTTGTGCAATGTCTGGTCTTGTGCATATCATAGCGAACATTAAACTTCCCACTGCTGATGCATACGGTACTCGAGACATCTTCATCCTCTCTTCTTCACTGCTAGGACTCATACTGGATGATAATTTGAAGTTAATAGGAAGAGGGTAGAAATTGGCTTACAATCTTGCATGTTGAATCGTGACAAGATATTCTTTAAGTAATTCTTTTGTGAAAGTCAAATCTTCCTATTACTTCTGTCTCGGTGAATTTGCATCCCTAGAATCTTGTTTGCTGGTCCCAAGTCCTTCATTTCAAATTCCCTAGCCAGTTGTGCCTTCAATTCTTCAATATGATCTTTGTTGGGTCCTGCAACCATCATTTCATCCACATACAACAGCAATATAACAAAATCGTTATCACCAGACCTCTTGAAATAAGCACAAGGGTCTGCATTAAGTCTGTTGTATCCAATGCACATAATGAAGGAATCAAATCTCTTATACCAACACCTCGGCGCCTGCTTTAGACCGTACAGAGATTTGTTCAACCTGCAAACCAAGTTCTTCTTTTCTTTTTCTTGAAAACCTTCAGCTGGAGCATGTAAATCTCTTCTTCAAGATTTCCATGAAGAAAAGCTGTTTTAACATCTAGCTGTTCTAGATGTAAGTTCAATGTAGCACATATTGCCAAAAATACTCGAACTGTTGTTAGTCGAACCACAGGAGAAAATATTTCATTGAAATCAATACCTTCTTTTTTAGCATATCCTTTGACCACCAGTCTTGCACGATACCTCTCAACTTGATCATCACCATTTCGCTTGATTTTGAAGACCCATTTGTTACCAATTAGCTTCCTTCCTTGTGGTAGTGGCACAAGGTCCCATGTATTATTTTTATGAAGGGCTTCAATTTCTTCTTGCATTGCCATCATCCACAGTGAAGCATCTGAGCTGTTTATTACCTCCTGGTATGTTGATGGCTCACCGTCCTCTGTTAAAAGGCAGTATGCAATATTACCTTCTATAACATAATATGAGTGCCAATTGGGACGTCTTCTCACACGATCTGATTGACGAGTTGTTGGAACTTCAGAACTCTCTGGTTCTTGTTTATCATGTGCTGGTTATGCTTCAGAAGAATCTCCTTGTTCAAACTCTTTTTCTACATGTATTTGTGTAGTCTCTGACTTTTCAGCGCTATCATCATCTTCTTTTCTTTGTAGCTTATCTTCTACAAAGATAACATCCCTGCTAATGATCACTTTACGGGCAATGGGATCCCACAAGCAATACCCCTTTACTCCATCAGCATACCCCAAGAATTTACATTTCCTAAATTTTGGATCCAATTTTAAAATTTCTTGGGAGTTGTACATCACGTACACAATACTTCCAAATACATGGAGGTTTGAATAATTAGCTGGTTAACCAGTCCACATCTCTATTGGTGTCTTCAGCTCTATTGTAGTTGATGGATTTCGATTCACCAAATAACAAGCGGTATTGACTGCTTCTGCCCAGAATGATTTTTCTAGGCCTGCATCCCTCAACATTGCTCTTGTTCTTTCTAACAAGGTTTTG